CGGCCGTGCAGTACTTTTTGTTTCCATGCTTCTTTTAAAATTTGCTCTGGGTTTGTAACTAAATTATGGGGTCTTTGTAAAGTAGTTTGATGTAAGTTTAGTGGTGTATAATTGAGGTCATTACATTGGATTGCTTTGTGTATGTCATTCGTATGAGATTTTTGATAAAAGAAATTTTGCAATCCGTGTACTTGTTTTTGCCATAGGTTTCGTATATTTATGAGTCCTCTGCCTCCGTTGTATCTCTTTATTGTTAACCTTTCTATAGCCGATTTTGGGTGGTGGTAGTTGTGTTTTGTTAATATTGATCGTGTGGTTCTCTCTATAGAATAAATATTGGTTTTGCTCCATTTTACTATACCGAATGAGTAGGTAAGTACTGGTATGGCGTAAGTATTCACAGCTTTTATTAGGTGTTTTCCAGGCAGTTTAGTTTTGCAGATGTTAGTTAATCTTCTTTTATATTCTGTGTTTATATTTATTTTATTGTTCTGTGATCTAAGCCTTTGAGCTGGTGAAATCCCAGATACTTATAAACGTCATTCGGTTCCATGGCTGTTATTATCTGATTTTCATTGTCATCTATTGCGTAATCTCCTGTATGTATCTTACTTACCCTTTATTATATGAAGGGTCCTACATTTGTCTAATCCAAATTTCATATTGATATCTCGGCTAAATTCAGCAGTAACATTTATTAGTTTGTCCATTTCTTTGTAGGTTTTTGTATATAGTTTAATGTTGTCCATGTATATTAAGTGAGTTATTGATGTATCGGTGTTACCATGTTTAAGGTGATATCCTGTGCCCTGAATGTTTAGGATATGAGACAGAGGGTTAAGAGCAAGACAAAACCATAAAGGGCTCAAAGAGTCACCTTGATAGATGCCTTTTTTATCGATATTTCTCTGGTAATTATAGTGTTAGGATGACTATTAAGATAAAGGGTAGTTTTCCAACGTGGCATTATGGATTTAAGGAATTCAATTAGACTGTTATTAATTTTATAAGTTTTAAGTACTTCAATTAACCAGGAGTGAGGTATGCTATCGAACGCCTTTTGATAATCTATAAAAGTACAATGTAGATTTCGTTTCTTGGTAGCTGCATGTTTGTCAATAAGTGAATCAATTATCAGTTGCTCTTTGCACCCCATGTGGCCGCGCCGACATCCTTTCTGTTCTTCAGCAGTTATGTTATTTATTATTTGGGGCATCTATATAGTTTACTCATCTGGTTGGGCTGTATAAATATATAATTGTAAATGAAAATGATAAACATACATAAATATCAACAAAATAAAATAAATACATAAAAAATACATAAATAAATAAAAACGCAACCAGATGGAAGCCCTCGGCAGGGGAGACCAAACGGCCGAGGGTTAGGGGGAAAGGGAAAGAAACCGGCGGACGATGCGGGCGGTATCGAGGAGCACCGCCTTCTGCATTTGAGCTTGGAGCGGTCCGTCACGGAGTTCCAGTCGCCTCAGATGACCCGAGAGGCTGACTGGGATTAACCCGTTCACAGAAACGACTACAGGTATAATTTCGGCCGGCAGTCCACCCCACATGTCGGTCACCTCGTGAGCCAGGTCCAGATATTTTGTTCGCTTATCTGTTTCGGCTTTCACGAGGTTCTCGTCATACGGAATGGTAATGTCGACCAAAAATATCCTTGACTATGCCCGGTCCATCAGCACAATATCAGGCTTATTCGCAAGAATAGTCCTGTCTGTGATGATGGCCCGGTCCCAGTAGAGCCTGGCGCGGTCATTTTCGAGCACGGCTTCCGGCATATACTTATAATAAGGCAGTTTCCGATCCACGAGACCGTATTTCAGAGCGAGCTCCTGGTGTAGAATCCTGGCTACTAGGTTGTGCCTATGCAAGTACTCAGAGTTAGAAAGCGCCGAACAACCGGAGATGACATGCCTAAGTGATTCACCAGGATGGCGACAAGCTCGACAAATGTCGACGGTGCCATCCCTTAGGATGTATCTCCGATAGTTGTTGGTCTTAATAACCTGATCCTGTATTGCACAGACAAAACCCTCGGTTTCCCCGAAGAGGTCACCAAAACGTAGCCAGTGGAGGGAGGCAACTGTATCTACGAAAGGCTCATGAAGAGCCTTGTAGAACCTCCCGTGGAGCTCCTTCTCCTTCCATACGGTCTCCCGGTCGGAAATGCTCTGTACTGCCGGGTCTTGCCATTGCTCGTTGGCTAAGGATAGAGGGGTAAGTCCTTTATCACGTCCCTATAGAATGGATCATCCGCTCTCGACAGAAAATAATTACGGAGGCTGCACACTTCGCGATTATGCAGGGTAAGCGCGCTTAAAAAGCCGCGCCCACCATGCTTCCGCGGCAAGTACAGCCTCATTACCGACGATCTCGGATGATGCACTCTGTGGGACGTCATTATAGTGCGGACTTTTCTGTCCAGAGCGTTCAGTTCGGTCTGAGTCCACCTGAGTATGCCAAAGGTATACATGAGAACAGGCATGATCCAGCCGTTATAAGCGTGTGTCTTATTAACGCCCGACAAAAGACTGTTAAGCATTTTTGTCAAGCGTGCATAAAACACATCGCAAACTGACTGCTTCATACCCGCCTCATCGACACCGATGTTCTGTGACATACCCAGGTATCGGTATGTTTCAGCCTCGGAAAGGGTCCTTATGCTGATGGGCATGTCCTCAGTCATAAGTCCATGCCCTCAGAGTTAGCAACCCTTCCCCTTTCGACATGGAGGATCGCACACTTATCCGTCCCCAGCTCCATTCCAATAGAATTGCTAAAATCACAAGTGATGTTTAGCAATTCCACAAGATGGGAGCGACTGGAGGCGAATAACTTGAGATCATCCATATAGAAAAGGTGGGTCACTTTTGTACCTCCTTTCCGAAACTGAAATCCCCTCCCGGAACCCTCCAGTAAGGTACTTAGAGGGTTCAGAGAGAGGCAAAACCAGATTGGACTCAAACAATCGCCCTGGAAGATACCCCTTCTTATCCTTATGTGGTTCTCCGCAGCCGTCATCCGCTGGCCTAGATGACAAAGGATCGTACTCCATTGCCCCATACACTGCCCGAGGAAGTCTCTAACCGTACAGTCAACCTTGTACAGCTCGAGGACCCTCTTAAGCCATGTATGAGGCACCGAGTCGAATGCCTTTTTGTAGTCTATCCAGGCAGCGGAGAGGTTCCGACGGTTGCGTTTAACCACCTTGCCAATGACCGCGTCAATGAGGAGTGGTTCCTTGGTTCCACGACCACCGCCCCGACATCCATTTTGAGCGCGCGACATCACCTGATTTGAGTTCAGGTGACGAGTGATTCTCGCGCTCAAAATGGATGTTAGTGTCTTGTATATGGTAGGTAGACACGTTATGGGGCGGTACTTGCTCGGGTCTGTGGAATCCCGGTCTTTAGGAACCAAATGAGTGATCCCAGTAGTGAAGAGGCTCGGGAGTGACTTTTGGTCGAGAGCCTCTTGAAACTGTCGGGCGAGCACAGCGTGACACACCACGAACCCCTTCAGCCAGTAGTGATGCAGTCCGTCGAGTCCCGGACTTTTCCAGTTCGGGGCCCTACGGACCGCCTCAGCTACGTCATCCGGCGTAATATTCGCACACTGACTCGCCACAACTTCCGTCCAAGGGCCCTCGCTGTGGTTTACGGGCTCTGACCACAGGCTGCGCCAGAATGCGATAGTGTCGGCCTGTTTCGGTGCTGGGCCCGTTCCACGTACCATCGGTCGCTCCAATAATTCATAGAGCCTCTTCTGATCACTCTGGAAGAGACGATTCTGGTTGAACCGTGTCGACCTCTCGGTATATCGCCGAATCCGCTTCCCCCAAGCAGCGATTCTCTGCTTCAGGTCGTCTATGCGCTCCGTCAGTTTTTGCGTTATATCCGGCTGGGACAAACTGATTATTTATTATTATTACATTATCACATATATATTGTCACAAAACTATAATATTATAAATATAAATACAATCTATATAAATAATATTATTATTTCGGCTATTATCCACCGCGGCGAGGAATCCTAAGCCATCGGTGAAATTAGGCATCCAAAGATAGGAACCTTCTCACTATTCGAGCCGTATTTAATAAGGCCGATTTTTGAATTAATCCCTTCAACCATTTGCCCAAACCCAACTTGGATAGATAGTCGTCCATAGTTTTACCAATAAGCCCATTGACTGAAACAACTATTGGTACAATAATAGTAGAATCAACGTCCCACATAGCGACAATCTCATGAGCCAAGTCGATATATTTTATCTTTTTATCATTCTCTGCTTTCACGAGATTCTCGTCATGAGGAACACTGATATCCACTATTATTGCCTTGCGTGCAGTTCGGTCTATCACCACAATGTCAGGTTTATTTGCCACTATAAACCTGTCTGTGATAATTGACCGATCCCAGTACAGCGTGACACTTCTATTTTCAAGGACTGGTTTTGGTTCATACTTATAATATGGAACGTCCTGTTGAGTAAAACCAAATTTAATCGCAAGCTGCTGGTGTATTATTCTAGCTACTTGGTTATGTCTGTGCAAATACTCGCCATTTGATAGTTGTGAACAACCGGAAATAACATGTCTGAGGGACTCTCCAGGGTGGTGACATGCGCGACATACGTCAACTGTGCCATCCCTCAAAATGTACTTCCGGTAGTTATTCGTTTTAATTACTTCGTCTTGTATTGCACAGATAAACCCTTCAGTTTCTGCAAAAAGGTCACCAAACTGTAACCAATGTACTGATGCAACCATGTCTACACAAGGATTAGTCAATGTTTTAAAAAATCGACCATGCAGTTGTTTGTCATTCCAAGCCTTTTTGCGTTCATCTATAGTCATAGTATGAGGCCTCTGCCAGTCCTTTGCCGACATATTAAGCGGGGTTATGATTTGTCATTAATCACTACGTCACTATGAATGCGTGATGTGTCTTTTTTTTAATAAAATAGTCTCTGAGGTTTTATACTTCACGGTTGTGTAGGTTTTTAATGTTTAATAAGCCCCGTCCACCATCTTTTCTTGGAAGATACAACCTCATGACAGATGATCGCGGGTGGTGCATTCTGTGCGTAGTCATTAATGTGCGGACTCGTCTATCTAAGTCATCCAATTCCGTTTGAGACCATCTTGTAATACCAAAAGTATATAGAAGGCTAGGTATTACCCAGGAGTTATATGCTCTAATTTTGTTTCCGCCAGATAAATGACTTTTGATAACTTTTTTTAATCTTGACATAAATTTTACTTTTGAATTTTCTTTAATGTTTTTGTCATTAATTCCTAGCGCTTCTGCCATGCCCAAGTATTTATAGGTTTCTGTCTCAGAAAGAGAACTGAAATGTAAGTCATCTGTAATTGCAAAATTATTACAATCTTTAATTTTGCCCCTATTTACGTTTATGACAGCACATTTATCTATTCCAAATTCCATTCTAATATCATTGTTGAAACTATGTGTTAATTTCAACAATAATAATAGATCACTCTCTTTTGATGTGAATAGCTTGAGATCATCCATGTAAAGTAGATGTGAGATGGGTGAGTTTTCTTTTCGAAACCGAAATCCTAATCCAGATTCCTCAATAACAGTGCTTAAAGGATTCAGGGCTAAACAAAACCAAGTTGGGCTCAAACTATCGCCTTGGAATATACCCCGCTTAATATTTATAGAGTCTATCGAACTACTTTGCCACTTACCTGGTAGATTTAGGATAGTGTTCCACTGACCCATTAATTTACTTAAAAACTTACAAATTTTTTCATCTATTTTATATATTTCTAAAACTCTCTTTAGCCATGAATGTGAAACAGAGTCATATGCCTTTTTGTAATCCACCCAAGCAGCGGACATATTTTTGCGATTACGAAAAACTTGTCGGCAAATAGCTGTGTCAATGAGAAGAAGTTCTTTACAACCACGTGACCCTTTCCGACATCCGTTCTGTGCGGTTGACAGAATGTTATTATTTTCCAAATGTTTATAGATCTTGTTATTTAAAATTGCAGTTATTAATTTGTATACAGTTGAAAGGCATGTTATAGGTCGGTAATTTTTAGGTTCCGTGGTGTTTCCATTTTTATATAGTAAGTGGATTATTATTATTATTGTTATTATTATTCATGCAATTATATTATAACTTATTATTATTGTGGTAAGTTAGTTATTCATTTTCATTATTATCTTACCCAGCCACTAAATTGCAACGCACTGTCTCATTTCATTACTTTGGATTTACATGATATAAAATGTCAAATCAAAATGAAGGTTTAATTCAACAGTGGTCAGCCGTAGCCTGGTCACAATTATATAATATTACATACTACTGCTGCTGTGTTTAGTATGGTGAGTGTAGAGAACTGGAGACCCTTTCTACTGGAAACGAGGTATTCCATCTTAGTTTTCAGGGGTGACGACGCATCTGCATTTTGATTCGTAATCGAATATAAATGTAGATGTCTATGTACCACAGCATCCACTTACCATCAGGTGGACTGCGTGCTCGTTTGTCACCCTTATTCTATAAAAAAAAACTACGCATAAAAGGGGTATTAGACTTTATAATTCAAAAATAATAAAACGCCGTAATGTAGCAACGTAAGAAATCCACTACCCGATATCATCCCGTGGGATGAATCGGTACTGAGAAAAATAACGAGTCTTTACTCACCGAAACAAAACAGCATGAAGCTGCTATTTTGCGCTGGTATTCTATGAGCGCGTGGTCCTTCCCCGTTCGAGTCGACCCATTCGTACTGAAAACACTTTAGTGCTTCGTATGTAAAAAGTACTCGGCAGCAGCAGTTAGCTACTGTGTACTGTGTCGTGACGGTGTAAGAACATCGCCATATCGTCCCGTGGGTGTCGTAAGAGGCAACAGAGGGAAATGGAACAGGAGATGAGGAGCAGCTCCTTTCTAATGAAAATATCCCCCTCGTGAGGCAATCTTTGGCATAGGCCTATGTACAGCAGTCGACTTTTGACAGGCTGAAATGAATCAATGAATTGTAATAAATGATTTGTGCTGTCAGAACACTCCTACGGGAGCTCTGCAATTGGATAGGTCCATGTTGAAGACTAAGTAGTGGCGGTGTAAAAATATCCACTACCCCATATCATCCCGTGGATGTCGTAAAAGGCGACTGAGGGACACAAATCAGTAGTCCACGTGATTAAATACAAGGGAAGTAATTCATATTAAGAATGGTTTGAAACGCATTAAGCGATATTGACAATATTATTTGGGGGATTCTGAAGTTAATTATATAATTTATAATTTTATAATTTTGCCTCAAATGAGACGTTTTCATTTGAAACTAAAAATTATTGATTTTCTTGAAGAAAAAAAAAACGCAATAATATCTTATTCGATATAATTTTTTATTTAAAAATAAAAAATGGCATTTTTGCGTATATGACGTAGTTTATGACGCCCTGGTAATTAAAACAAAAAATGTTAATTAAACTGATTACAATAATTCTGTAATATTTTATTTCCAATTTAATTTAAACACCATTAGTAAATAATATAATTTTAATGTCTTTTTTTTGGATCTAAATAAATATAAAGTCGATTGTAAAAACTAGCTAGTTTTTTGTATTTTACTTTACAAAAATAATGCCTATGTTTTTTAGTATAAACTATAAACCAATTTTGTTACCAATATTCTCTTTTATTTATTTATTTATTCGGAAAACTTTCGACTACCAATAAATAGAGTAGGTAGAAATTAATTTTTTTTTATTTTATTTTTTAAGATAAAATCACATAACTATTAAACAGTTCAAATAAATCTTGCAAGAATTAAATATCAAACTTGTTAATACTTGTAATTTATTCTTAATATAAAGTAGGGGAAAAATTTTATATACAAACTCAAGACATTTTTTTTCAAAGTTCAAACATTCAAATATAATATGTATGTACCATTTTGTTAAATAACTTTTTTGTTGCCTTATGTAACATAATCTCGTTGCTGTTGAAAATTTTGGGATTTTAGATCAAAAAATGCGATAAACAGTTTTGACAGTTTCTCTTGATATTAACCGAACACTACCCAAATAATTCTGAAGAGACCGAAACAGGTGAAAATCTAAGGGTGCAAGGTCAGGACTATTTGGTAAACGCATTAACACTTCCCAACCAAGCTCTCTCAATTTTTGCTGAGTGGTCAAAGATGTGTGTGGTCAGGCCTTATTGTGACGAAAGACGACTCCTTTTCTGTTGATTAATCTATAAATCCGGATTTCGCTACAGTGTGTGGCCCTTTGACCATAATCGTTTTCCACTTGCCTGTCGTAGGTGATCCATCAGGTTTATAAGGCAGACTTTGGGCACTTAACTTGGCCCATCGTTCTCACCAGCATCACTTGTAAGTGCGTAGTACGGCATGCATTACACACCGGCACATCGTTCTCACCGGTGTCGCTAGCCCTTACGCACACAGCATGCATTCTGCACTGGCATTAAGGACGCACCGGCAATCGGACTGTACTATCTACCTCCGGTCTGAGCAGAGGGGTGATGTGGTGGTGCTGTAGTCGCACCACAAGCTAACCGAAACGAACCGAACCCTAAATCACGCTATCAAAGTTCCGCAGCACAGCAAGTATATATAGAATAGCTCCGAACTATCACATGGAGCTTTGGCCTCTCCCCGGGCCTAAAACCTTGCCCGACGGGAGATCTCTCCGTTTTTATCCACGGCCAAAGTGGTAAATAAAATAATGCTTTCCAGATTGAATTTTGGTCTCAACCGACTAGCCACCTGCGCAGTATAGTGCACGTGTGTCTGCAAAGTGAGTAGAGTCTCCATCCCCTAACTCTCATACTCTGTTGGGATGGTAATCCAATACGACCGCAGGGAGTTCAAATGCATTACCAACGGCTTCACATGGTTTTCGAAAATCTGGGATGAATCGTCGCCAACTTCCTGACTCCGGGCTCCTACTGAGAATTTTTTGACAGAAAAACTCAATAACTGATTTTAGCCCGCCCCGGAATTCGAACCCAGGACCTCATGAGCAGAAATCGCGTTTACGACCTCTAGACCAACGAGGCAGTAAGTAATTAAACAAAATTTATTACTTTTCTAACTTTCTTGCTGTTGCTACAACATGCTGTTAATAAAGAAAGCCTACTCGACTCTAATGGTTATTTTCCACGACCACAATCTTTAGTTAAGTTTCATGGCCCATTACATGACCCGAGGCGGGTGCACGAACTGGGTCATTCTCATTACTCTCAATCGTAAATAGTCGTGATGTCGATACGATTCTTGTAAGTTAATAAAGGGGTTTCCGTTTCGCCGAACACAGAGACTTAATACATTATTCAGTGATCTTAATACATATATCAAATGTGACATAAAAAGGATTTATAAAAAAAATTAATTTAAAAGAAACATGAAAAAAAAGTTACTACTATTGCTAGGATTGGTTTATTCAATAGTATTTGATTAAGGTTAGTTCGGTGTTCACAGTATCAAGAATAGAATAGAATAGAACAAGAATACTTATTGAGAGCCATTTATGTTGTTACCACTGGTTCGGAAAAAAACATCTGTTCTATGACGAACCAGCAAGAAACATAACGAAAATATTTTTAAACATTGATTTACATTAAAATTGCAAATAAATAATTGCAAATAATATGAAGACATTTACAAACAGCGTGATGATGATCACCTCATTCCCAGGAATTAGTATTGATCATGTTTTCTGCAAGTATCAATCACATAATTTGATGGCAAGTATTTTCACCGTTAAATAGATGTATGCGAACTTATAACAGCTTAAACAATCATGACATCGACATCTTTAGCGACCCCGAACGTGTATTCAAAAGAAAATGTAAAGACTTACTATTACCTACCTTGCCCGATTAATGATTTTAAACTATTATTTATTGCAATATTTTTTACTGCATGTGGTGCTTTTGCTCAATTAGTTTGATTTGTGTTTGTTTAGAGTTTATATGTATGTTGTTCAGTTTTTTTTCATGTAATGATGTATACACCTGTAAAGACATATATTTTGTCTAAAAAAATTGTATTTCGTTCGTAACAATGCATATTGATATTGTCGATGGTGTATTTATCTAAATAAATAAATAAAGTGGATGCTACGGCCAATAGACATCAACATCTATCCTCGATTACGAAACAAAATACTGAGAGATGTCACCTCGGAGCACTAAGATGGAATGTCTCATTTTCAGTAAAAAGGATCTCTGGTTCTCAACAATTACCCAATGAAACAGCGCACCAGTACGCTGTTATGTCAGTGCCGGTTTTCGTGAGAGCGACCTATCTATTTGTGCTACAATTATAATATAGCTGCAACGTGGTTCTAGGACCTACAACACTGAAGCATAATACTAAGTCGGATGACTATTTGTCGCTTCAATAATGATGATGTAATATTATATATATGTGTGATGCTATAATGTATTTTTATAGGATAGGATGACAAACGAGCACACAGTCCACCTGATGGTAAGTGGTTGCTGTGACCCATTAGACATCCACATCTATCCTCAATAAAGAATCAAAAAGCAGATGCGTTGTCACCCGTGAGGACTAAAATAGAATGCCTCTTACGCTAAATCCTGTAAAAAGTATCTCCGGTTCTCTACAGTCACCATACGAAACACAGCAATGTTAAGCTGCTATTTTACGCTGGTATTCTGTGAGAGCGTGGTCTGTAAGTTATATTATAATGTAATGGCGATGTTCATCGTTCGACCATTGTAGCAAAAGGGGGAGATCTCCCGCCGGGCAAGATTTTGAAGAAGTGTTTGGCCCAAGAAGCAGGCACTCCGTGTGGTGGTACAGAGCTAAGTTATATTTACA